CTTATTGGTCATTCTAGTTTGATGCTGCAAAGTTGAGGAAGCTTAGACCAAGCTTTAAGGATGGTGGATCTGTTACTGCTGGCAATGCTTCCATCATTAGGTCATCTCTTGTTCTATCTCCTTCATCATTTTAATGAATTTAAATATTTATTTTCTGAGTGCTCATGCCTTGTCCTTGCCCAATTGTTGATAGTAGCTTCTTTTTTTTTTTTTGTGTTGCACAGCAATTCCATTGTTTAAATGTGTTAAGCATGTCTTTTCCATTTCATTTTTCATCTACATTCAATGTAATAAAGTCATTCCAAGACCACAACGTTGAAGAAGAACCTTTAAGCTCCAATTTTATTGCATCACCATTTTGTTACTGAGAGATTTGTGTTTTCCGTTGAAAAAATGTAGTGCTAAGCCCCTGGCTTGGTAGATATCTTATCTCTTTCAGGCATCAAATATTTGGTGATAACAGAATAAAACTCTTTATTTCATATTACTTTTAATGTTTTGGCACCAGAAGCTGTCACTTATGAGCTGGTCTATCATCTTTTACAGTGATGGTGCAGCAGCATTGGTGCTAGTGAGTGGGGAGAAAGCTCTTAGGCTTGGTTTGCAAGTAATTGCTAAGATAAGAGGATATGCTGATGCTGCTCAGGTGCTTTAGATAATATCCTTTATGTTTTGTCTTGCACTGCCTTCAAATTATGCTGAAGATTCCCATCTTGCCAGGCACCTGAATTATTTCCAACTGCCCCAGCCCTTGCAATACCAAAAGCTATTTTGAATGCTGGTTTGCAGACTTCTCAAATTGATTACTATGAAATAAATGAAGCTTTTTCGGTATGACAATATGCTGTGACTATTTTCTTCTGCCAGCATCTTATTCATTATGTGTTCCACAGTATGTTCTTTTTTCTCTATGCAGGTTGTGGTTCTTGCCAATCAAAAGCTGCTTGGCCTTAATCCTGTAAGGCTTCAGTTATCTTCTATAACATGATGTAGATGTTTCTTTCCTACAATCTATGACTGACTTGCTTTATATGATTTTCCACTGTGCATCTTACTATTCCAAACCTTTATTAAATGCAGGAAAAGGTTAATGTTCATGGTGGAGCTGTATCTTTGGGACATCCATTAGGATGTAGTGGAGCTCGTATATTAGTCACATTGTTAGGGGTAACTAAAAGAGCTTAACTTTTTAATGTTTTCTCTCATTACCTTATACTTTCTTTTCTAATCATTTGAGCAAATATAGCTGCATATTCCCTCGATCCTCTATGTTGCTTGCCATATGTATTTTGAAACTGTTTTTCATGGTAGCTTAGGCTCCATTTAATATAGTTGTGGTTTTTAGTTTTGGTTTTCATAAATTTTGCATCTATTGAAAACCAACACTAAAAATTGAAAACTAACTACTTGTTTAAAATGAGTTCTAACACTAACAACAAAAAATATAAACTTGTTTAATAGTATTCAAACTATTTTTGTTCTTATTTCTCTAATAATCATGACAATATGTTGCAAAAACATATGAAAGTAAATGAGTTTTTTGTATAGAGTTGCAAAATTTATAAAATTCAAAACCAAAAACCACAACTATACTAAACGGAGCCTTAGTAAATTAATTGATCGCTTATCTTTAAAGGATGGAGAAAACCTCAAATCAATATTTTTATCATGCATTAGGTTTCTTTCAGAACCATCTCCATCAAGTTTCATTATATCACAGGTCCTGAGACATAAGAATGGGAAGTTTGGGGTTGGTGTAATCTGCAATGGAGGAGGAGGAGCCTCTGCACTTGCCGTTGAACTCATGTAAGCCCTCTAAATTCTGCCATCTGTGCTAATTGACTTGAGAATGTCATGATCAAATACATCACTATCATATAGCCTGTAGATGCAAACTTTCTGTTTAGTATTCTTAGTGGACTTCTTGAGCTTAAACGAAAGAAATCTATATTTTCTGTTCTATCAACTTTTTGCAATACTTGATTATTCATTGGCATCTTGCCACACTAATTCAGTGTGACTCCAATCAATAATTTTTGGAAGACTTGATTGCTGGATTGTAATTGATATATGTTCGCTGTTCAATGTAATAGTTTCATTTCACCATAAATCATGGAAAACAAGACTTCCCCAAGAAAACATTGTCCAAAGAAAAAAAAAAAAAAGTGCATGTCTATCTTCAACTAGGAAATTTATAATTTAATGATTAAACTTACCCAAAGTGCAATTTCCATATTTGCATTACATAACCTGTGATAACTCATTTTTTGCAGGCCAGCTGCAATGGTGGGATGTTCCAAGTTATAAATGATTTGCATTCTCCATTATCATACCATCATTCAGGTCTATATTTCTTTCCTTTTTCCAATGAAGGGAATAATAAGTATTGAGTATGTATGAAACATTCCAAAGATATAAATATTGTTACTTCTTGATCTTACCACCCTCTTACCACCCTTGTGCACTTCTGTTTGGCTTCTGTTTCCTCTTTATGCTCAGTTCTTTGGTGCACGGGTTGATATTTAAATTCCAATGTCATAAGCTAAGAGAAGGTTTGTATGAAGAATAATAGGATTGAATATAGGCTGCAGCAAATTTGAGATTGCGGAACGATTAAATCAGTTGTTCTACAGGAATTATCATTTTAGTTCCAAAGCTTGTTCAAATGTTGCAGTTCCTTCTTTCATGCGAAAGCTAAGTGTAAAAAGAGACTGAAGTCTTATTAACCTAAAACATTTGCTGTGGGAGCAGGTGCTTTTTATTCTTAACATGTGATTAGAGTAATTTAGTACATGGCTATAGTGCTTGCTAACAGAGGGAAAATGATTGAGAAGAGTGTTACTGAGGGAGGCATGCTGCCACTGTCCTTACGAAAGAACAGCCCTTTGTACACAGGCAGGTTTAGGCAAACCAAGAGGCCACTTAGAAGTATCTGCAAAGCAAGTAGGTCCAAGGCCTTTTTATCGACGATAGCCCTTTTCATTGCTCCAATGCAGCTGATCAAGTTCAGCATAGCCAGTGTTGCTATAATGTTAAACATGGATGATTTCGTGCCAAATTCCATGACCTCTTACTCATATCTCTGAGACACACCCTTATCCACCATCTTTTCTGTTACGGCAAATGTTGCCTTAGATAATCCCAGTAGCTTCAGGATAGTGCTAAGGAAGGCAAATAAGTATGAAGTTGTTCTTTTGAACATCCAAATCCTTTGCTCATTCCACCACCCCTGCAATGTGCCTCCGCAGCCTAGAAATTCCCATAGGCTGTATGCTCGGTTTGCAAGGACCACACAGGGAAATGGTAGGACCCAAGGGCTTGATATCTGATGATTTGTTAAAAAATTCATTCAATTCTTAGAACTTAGAAGCTTAATGATTAGTTGGGATTCATAAATAATTTTGGATTTTGTGAAGATGAAATCCTTACCTGCGGAAATAAAGCTTTGCCTTTGAGGAGGCAAAGGGATGGCACAACAACATAATATAGCATAGCTAAGCTGGTGGGAGCCCATAGGATGTAGGGACCATAGGAAAGTTGAAGTTTCAGAGGGATCCTTTTATGTCCATAAACCAAGGGACAGTATTTGGATAGGAAAATCTGAAAATCACCTTCAGACCATCTCTTGTGTTGTATTAGGCTCTGCAAAAGAGTTGTGCGAGCAACTCCTAAGAAGGCCTTCCTTTCTGGAATGAAGTAGACGGATTTCCAACCTCTGCATTGTATAGACAGTCCTGTGATTATGTCCTCCACCGGACAGCCGTATTTCAAACCCATCTGCAAGTCAACTTATTGTGATCAATCATGTCAAAATGACACACTGCAGAGAAATTTATATGCATCCTTGTGTTCACTTCTTATGGAAAAATAGTTACCTCCTTCCTCCACTCTGTGTTCTGCTCAAATGCACAACTTGCAAGAGATTTGCATAATTCTTCCAGGGCATTAGAACTTTCTTCGCTGTTCCTATTGTTCTCTGATCTCCATTCAGTCTCGAATTCCTTGCTGTACTTCTTCCCACCAAGTAGTGTCTCTCTCCGCTGAAAGCATCCTGTTCCAATGTAGCAAGGCCCTCCATTGCCATCAATCCCCGGGAGTTCCACCTTGATTCAGGTATATATATCAGAACATTATATCGTTATAAGTCTTGGATATTCTTAAATTCAATTCATCTTTATTAACGCCGGCTCACCTCCATTATTACTCTCAGGGAATTACCGTAAATCTCATTCTGAGTTATATTATCGAAGTTCTGTGGATATTGCACGTAAGCAATCTCATGCCCTTTCTCTTGATCCAGAAAAAAGCAGAGAGCATCTCTGATTGATTCGGAATTATTTGAATACATGTTGCAGTCAACATTAAGAATTACTGGTCCATTGCTTATCCTTGAGGACTCCCTTATCTATCAATTCATTGTGGAAGATAACATAACGATATCAAGGATAACCTCATCACAATCACAAATTAACAGTACAAGATATATATATATATATATATATAGATAACTAATTACCAAAGCATTCATGGCTCCTGCTTTGAAATTATGGTGATATTGAGGCCTCTTTTCACGTGCCAAGTATACCAGGGTTGGCAAAGCTTGTCCTTGAACATCCACGGCTTCTGGATCTCTTCCATTGATTAATATCTACACAAATTAAGCACGTAATTTTTGTTACTTATATATATCAAGAGATCCATTTTTATTTAATGATTTAAGTTGTGTAGTGAAAACAATAAAATATGGATTATATTAGCTAAGACATAGATTAAAATTTTGTCAAGATCTCTTCTTTTTCTTTGGAGGATTTATCAAATAAATGTAAAGATTTCTCACTTAAAGAATGGTCTGGTGGTCTTGTCTGCTCGAAACCAAGTCCCACTCATGGAATCCCTTATGTTGTTGACGCAGATTATCTGGAACTCTGTCAAACTTTGTCGTGGTCTCGATGCGAATCTTCATGTATTCATATAATTTCTACTATCATACTTATAATTAATTAATTAATATTGATCTTATAAATAATTTAATAGTAATTTTTTTATTAAAATTAAAAAATTTTGAGTTTGAATTATATATTATATAAATAAGAATAAATAAATAAAAATAAATAAATAAAAAGATAAGAGAAAATTATTTTTTATTATATAATTTAAAATTCAAAAAATTAAATTAAATTAATTAACTACAAATTAATTACGCAACCAGCTAGTGAGTGAAGAGTATATTTAATTTGATTTTGATTGTTTAATTAATTACGTACGTACCTTGATCATCAACCAGTCCTTGGTCATGAAAGAATCATGAGATGGTGGATTGGTGGCGGCCATCCGAAAATATGCCTCTGGTGACCTTGGCTCCACTTTGAACTTCTTACAAAATGGCAGCCATTCCTCGGAGAAGTGCGCTGCCAAAAAGAAGTGATTGGCCAAAATGAAAAGATGCAATTCAGGCAGAATTGAAATCATTAAAAAAACGTCAAGTTTTTGGACCAATTGTCCGAACACCCAATAATGTAAAACCTGTCGGTTATAAATGGGTGTTTGTGAGAAAACGAAATGAGAAAAATGAGGTTGTGAGATACAAAACTAGACTAGTAGCTCAAGGCTTTACACAAATACCTACATTGATTATAAGGAAACATATTCTCTTGTGATGGATGCAATTACATTCAGGTTTTTAATAAGTTTAGCAATTTCTGAAGGCCTTTAAATGCATCTCATTGATGTTGTAACTGCTTACTTATATGGATCACTCAATGGTGACATTTATATGAAAGTCCCTGTTGGACTTAAAATGCCTGAAGCATACAACTCAATGCCAAGAGAGATATTTTCAATAAAATTAAAACGGTCTTTGTATGGGTTGAAACAATCAAGACGAATGTGGTGCAATCACCTAAGTGAATATCTCCTAAAAGAAGGATATGAAAATAATCCTATTAGCCCATGTGTCTTTATCAAGAGGTCAAAATCTGGTTTTGCTATTATTGCTGTATGTGTTGATGATATAAATATCATTGGGACACTTGAAAAGCTTGAAAAGGCAATTGAATGTTTAAAGAAAGAATTTGAGATGAAAGATCTCGAAGTAACAAAATTCTACCTCGATCTATAGATCGAGCACTTATCAAATGGATTTTTTGTCCATCAACTAAATTATGTTAAAAAGATATTGAAGAGATTCAATATGGAAAAATCTCATCCTTTAAGCTCTCCAATGGTTGTTTGATCCCTTGCTGTAAGGAAAGATCCTTTTCGTAAGGAAAGATCCTTTTCGACATTGTGAAGATAACGAAGAAATTCTTGGTCTTGAGGTACCATATTTAAGTGCAATAGGCGCATTGATGTATTTGGCTAACAATACGCGACCTGATATCATGTTTTCTATGAATTTGTTAACAGGATAGAGTTCTGCACCAACACGAAGACATTGGAATGGCATTAAACATTTATTTCGTTATCTTCAAGAAACAAAAGACATGGGATTATTTTACTCAAAGCACTCAAAACTAGAGTTAGTTGGATATGCAGATGTTAGATATTTGTCTGATCCACATAAAGGGAGATCACAAACTGGATATTTGTTCACATATGGTGGTACTGCAATTTCTTGGCGTTCAACCAAACAGATTGTTGTTGCCACATCCTCAAATCAATCAGAATTGATTGCTTTATATGAGGCCAGTCGAGAATGTGTACGGTTAAGATCTTTGATCTAGCATGTTCAAGAAACATGTGGTCTTAAAGCAATTACAGGAAATCTGACCTTATTATATGAGGACAATACTGCATGCATTGCACAAATAAAGGGAGGATTCATCAAAGGAAATAGAACCAAGCATATTTCTCCAAAGTTTTTCTCTACACATGAACTTGAAAATGCTGGTGAAATAGAAGTTCAGTAAATTAGTTCAAATGAAAATCTTGCAGATCTTTTCACAAAGTCACTGCCTACCAAAGTTTTTGAATAACTTATACACAAGATAGGCATGCAATGTCTTAAAGAGCTTCGTTGAAATGATGGGGAGTTTTATATGCATTGCACTCTTTTTCCCTTCACTATGGTTTTTATCACATTGGGTTTTTCATGGCAAGGTCTTTAATGAGGCAATTTAAAAGCATATAGAATAGAAAAGGTGAGCATCTAAGCGGGAGTATTGTGAATTTTTATTATTAGTGGATGCTTCACCTTCATATTCATCTTCTTCATATTTTAACTCCTCACAATTAAGGGCTCATTCCTCACCATTAAAGGGTCATTCATAATCCCACTAAAGGCCATTCAAAGGGCCATTAAGGTGTCATTCAAGAGTCCATTAAGGTGTCATTCATTCTCTCATTTAACCCTATTGCATGGCAAATGTAACCCCCTTATGTCCCTTAGCCTATATATATAAGCCTACAAATTTGTATGATTTGTACATGGAAGAGAAAATAGTGAAATAAGAAATTCTCTCTTTTGCTTGTCTTCTTCCTACTCTACATCTTATTTTATAATAAATGCACAATAATTCATTGTGCCGCTATGACCATTTAAGAGAAAACAAGCAGTCTTTAAAATTTGGATGCAATTGTACATTGATCCTGGCATTCCATGTGATGTGGGTCCAAACACAGCTACAATCTTTGTAAGAGCCCCACCG